AATTACATCGGGTGCCCGAGTACCTGCGGGGTGTAATCCGGGCGTTCCTCCGGGAACAGAGTATCGTCTATACCGTCCGGGGCGGATGGGTGACCGCGAGGACTGTACACCGCGGGGTCCCACAGGGTTCGGTGTTGGGTCCGTTGCTGTGGAACGTCGCAGTGGTTCGGACGCCGATGCCTCCGAACTCGGCACTGGCGTGCTACGCCGATGACACGTTGGTGCTGGTCTGGGGTACGGCATGGGGTAGAACCATCCGCCTGGCGGAGCTGGCGGTGGCCTGCGTGGTCACCGAGATCAAGGGACTGGGACTGAGGGTGTCCTCTGAGAAGTCCGAGGCAATGTGGTTTTGTCGCAAGGCCGATCACGGGATCGGATCGTCCCGAATATATTATATATATTATAGAATAAATTAGCCATTTTCGTGTTGTCCTTTGTCCATTCGTCAGTATTCTTGTAAAATATGTTGCGGAAAAACTCCTGTTATTTTCATTCTTAGGGAAGTTAAATTGAGTAACTTGTACAGGACCATGCTGAACTATTAAATTTACTGTTTCTTGTGTTCTGTCAATTGGCTAGGATCTTCAATGTTGAAATTTCTGTTGTCTTCTTTTTGTACTTCAATTTCCATATTTCCAATGTCGTTCTCTTGACGAGTTTCACAATCGATGAGTTAAACAAATCCAAGTAATATTTTTTCGCATTCATAATTTGCATTCAGGAGGCAAAAAATTCAATATAAGTGCAAAATCTGTAATCATATATGACTTTTAGTAGAAAACTATTGGTGTAGTTTAATTTCTCTAAAAAGTACATTTCTCTGAAAGCGCCTGGATTTTTTTATGTAAAGTAGTTTCCAGGATATGAGGACTTTATGGAGTTACACTGAACTTTGATGGTTTTTGGCACTCCTTTAAACTGAATCATTACTACTAAAAAAATGTTTTGTATCTGCCTTACTTCGCCCCCGGCCGCGAACGTGTCTAGAATTGTGACATTGTGATCAGGTGTTAAATACTTAATAAAGATGAGTCACCAAAATGAATAATAATTATTCAGAATAAGTTACTTACATCGTATCATATACGTCTAAATTTGCGGCACCTTGTTCGATTACTAAAACAATAATTCAACGTTTTCTAGTTTATCAGTTTAACTAACTAATTTATATAATTAAAATTAGTATATTCAGAATTCTTTATTATTAAAATAAATAAATAAAATAATTAATAAAATGTAATAAGGTATCTAAGTTGCTGGCAACATGTAACATATATCTAAATTATGACATTTGTTCGAATATTAAAGTACCTGTAAATGAAAATATTCTTTAAAAAGAGTAATTACTTATCAAATAATTTCCAGTAGTAAGATATCTCTAAAGATATATCTAAATTAGCGACATTTGTTTAGATGTTAACTACTAGATAAAGCATCAGGAATTAATAATTAATAAATAAATAGTTACTGGTGACAATATTGCGATGATTGGTTAGAAACTAGTCATGTTGATATTGCCATATTCAATACTCTCAATATAACTACTGGCAATATAACTAATTGTTACATTTTGTTTGGCTCGTTTTGGTTGTGTTGCCGTTAATTTTTGAATTCAGATTAAATTGTAGTTTTTTCTGTTATTTAATGCGATTGGCAATTAAACTCCACGTTTCGGCTAACCTGCTACGCGTAGGAGTACTGGTACGGGAGAGGATTAAAGTTGGTGAAAATAAATGTTCGCTTAATCCTATTATATTATTAGACAAATATTCTTCACAAAAAAATGTTTATTCGTATTCTAATTGGATATTGACAGAATTGTCGTTGAAATTTCAAATACTCGAAGTTACAATCGTTCGCAATACGTTTTCACTCTTATTAATTACAAGATTTTAATTTGATAGATTTTCAATAATTTACAAATTGACAAATGCAAATACGTCGATTAACAAGACTAACGAGAACTGGGAACTAATGAAACAAAGAACTAAAAGCTAAAGAACTAAAGGACTAAAGAACTTAAGAACTGAGAGCAAAAACTAAGAGCTAAAGGAACTAAGAGCTGAAAAGCTAAGGAACTAAAGGATTGAAAGGCAAAAGAACTGAGAAATTAAGAGCTAAAGGAATTGAGAACTAATCGCTATGAGCAAAGAAATTACTTGCCAAGAAATGAGGAACTGATCGCTAAGAACCAAGGAATTAATCACCAAGAACTGAGGAACTAATCACACAGAACTGAGGAATTAACTACTCTGAACTAAGGAATTATCTCTCCTTCTTCTATGTCGCTTATTTATATTTAGGTCTATCTTGGAGGGGTCGCCATGTGACGGATTATTCCGTGGGGGTTGTGAGGCTCGAATTTGGTTTCTATACAAATTGTTAAAATTTATTTAAATTTCAAATTGGAGCGCTCACTCGCGCTATTGGTAGTTTTAGTCTACGTTAAGGCGCGTGCGCAGCGCGGGATGTGACACTATACACCACGTGCTAGCTCCATATCTAGTTAAAACAATATGACATTTACAATTAAACTTTCATACACAATTAAGTGGTTATCGCTGGACGCGCGTAAGTGCAATGTCGATGAACAGTGTTTAATTTACTAAACTTTCAATTTATCACAACGGTACTACCATTCCATTGTGTATAGGTTAAGTTATGAAACATATCAATCTGTATTACTGTTCCACACATTAAGTAACTATAAATTAGTGTATATAAATACTAAGTAAATAAATAACATAGCAAAGCGGTATTTTAATGAATAATTCAAATTATAAATTAATTAATTAATTAATTAATTAATGGATAAATAAAAAGATAACTAAATAAACAATTACTATAGTTAATTAAATAGATGGACAGAACAGAATAAATAAAAATAGATAACAGATAATTAATTTCTTCACTTCTTGGTTAAAATAGCTTTTATGGGCTATATCCTGTGTCTAAGCTTTATAGAAAGTTTATTATGGAGCCACAAAATACTTGGAAGTGATTCCATATATCATTGTCTGCTGTAACTAATGTAATCATATTCTTGGTGCTTAAAATTTCACCAGCATGGTTTTCACAGACTATATGTTGGGAAGCCCATCTTGGACATTTAAACAATACCTGTTCAGCATCATCGAGCTCTTCAGTGCAATCGCAGCATTGGTTATTGCTTTCTTTATTTATTCTGATTCTATATGTGTTAAAGATACCATGTCTGGTAAGTATTTGCATTGTATAATGGTTAATAAGTTTTTTATGCTTTATAAAGATGACTACGTTGTTTATCAATTTTCTTGTCCAATTTCTTTTATATTCCTTTCTCCAATCCTCAATTGTTGTTTCTTCCAACTGTTCTATCTCTCCCTTGAGTGAGTTTTGCACCCTATCGGTTATATTTTCTGCCGTGTTTAATATGTGCCTTTTTTCACCTCATATATCTTTTTTTTTGCAGCTGTGCTTTAATGTGTATTGGCATGTTCCCTGGCAACATGCATAGAGCTGCATAAGAGACAGCTCTATAAGCTGTTGACATCCTCATTATGGCCAATCTTTGTACTGTTTTTAATATTTTTTTTATTTTTAGTCATTTTCGGAGCCTCAGCTCATACAGGAGAGGCATATAGTACCATCGATTCCCAGAACAATTTTCTAACTAGGTTAGTAGGACCATTTATGTTGGGAAGTAGTACTATCAACATTCTGACTAAATGCATCAGCTCTACAGCATAATGTTTCCAGATACGCAGTGTAATTTCTGATGTTGTCAATTGTTAATCCCAAGTATATAATAGTGTTATTTGTAGTAATTAGCGTATTTATAATATTTACATTTATTATCTTAGGTATTAGCATACCAGTCAATAGAATAATCTCTGTTTTTTCTTTTGCAATTTGCAATCCAGCGTTATTACACCAAGTCATAATTGTGTTTATGTTTATATTTAGTTTATTTTCTATACTTTCTTCTTTATTGACACCCATTAGAATTGCCGAATAATCTGCAAAGGCTACAGTTTGTAAATTTTATTATATTATCAAATTTATTGAGAAGTCCATTGTGCACTAAATTCCATAATAATAGCGTAAACATTACTTTTAAATTTTCCATTAATGCTTTGAATTATAATCTCTCTGTCCTTCAGGTAATCATATAATATCAATAAGTTTCCTGGAAGTTTTCTTTGCCTGGCTTCCTTAATTATTGTATACCAACTAAGGATGTTGAAAACATTTTTTAATGTCGACAGCCATCTGGATGTATACTAAATTTTTCTTTTTGCAGAAATCTGCAAATTTTTTAACCTATATGATGGGACCAACTGTGCTCCTGCCTCTGCGGAAACCATACTGGCTTTTGTGATATGGCTCCTGCCCTAGATATTTCTCAGTGGAGGATTTCGAAGTATTCCCCCATGTCTTGCTCATCGCAGGTAGTATACTTATGAGCCAATAGGAAGAAGGAAGGAGGGGATTATTTCCTGGTTTTGCAATATTACTCTGGCATTTTTCCATTTTTTAAGTATTTTATTTATTTTGTATATAGTATTAATCATGCTTAGTATGTTGTGAGCTTTATGCTTAAATAATAATTTAAATATTGTTCCAGAGACCCCACCCACGCCAGCTGCCCGTTTAAAATTTAATCGTCCAATGGCATTCGCTAACTCCTCCATTTGGACGGTGATACATACATCGTCGCTTGTTACTTCCTCGTAACTACCATCCCGCCTCTCTTCTTCGGCAGTTATGTTTGTTTTTGTGGTGAAAAGTGTATCTATAATGCTATTAATTTTATTTGAGTTTATGTTATCTACTGGTTTCTTGTTTTTTTAGTTTATTTATAACGCTTTTATAGGGTTTACTCTATGGATCCCATTCTAAGACTGCAACGAATTCCTTCCACGTTTGTTCTTTGTCTTTCTGAATTAATATTTTCAGTTCCTTTATTCTGCTTATATATCTTGGTAAGATCCTCCGCATTGTTGGCTATTTAATACAGCCCTTCTACTTTTATTTTCCATTTTTCGAAGTGGAGCTATATTCTCATTCCACCAATAGTTCTCGTTCTTCTTACCCCTTGGTAGAAAGACTTTTTTTAATTCGGCTTCACGCGTTTTTTCTAAAATATTGTGGAGAAATTCCCCATGGCTCATCCTGTAAGTTGTAAAATTTATTATTGTTGAGGTTACTCGATGTGTAAACAGAGAAAACTCGTGGATAAATTGTAAGGCAGAAAATATATTTAAATAGAAGTGTAATTATAAGTAAGAATACAATTTGAGCTGGTCCAGGTCCGCATGCTAGCTGTGTTACCCAATAATTGAAAATCCCGAAGACAACGTCGCCTGTCTACTGTTTATGGTCTGACTTTGTCGCAGTCTTTTGTCTACACGCTGTCGATGGCTTCAGTGCTTGAGAAAACTAAAAAGACCAGATGTAGAGTTTTCTTAGAAGTGATTACCACTTCAACAATTATTACATTATTTTTTATTTCGTCAAATTTATTAATAAACCTGTCCGGATCGAAGCCCTTCATCGAAAATTTATAATGACCTCAATTCTGTTAAATTTAAATTAAAAATTTGTGGGACCTTTGTTCTTTTATAAAGCCTAGCTAGGTTATTATTTACGTTCACTATGTCAAGATAGCTATTACTATTGCCCCTAAGAAAGATATATTTTTTGTTCACTTTTATGGTTGTAATTCCATTTTTTACCAAAGCTTCCATTAAGGTTCTACCCTTTTTGTCGGTTTTATCTCCGCTCCATGCTGTCGATTTTGCATTATAATCGCCAGCAATAAGTATTTTACTTTGTTTTTTATATATCCTTTTCATTAAGCTTTCTAATTTGTCAACATATTTATAGTAGGTTGATGTTAGGGGAACAATATCCACTCATGTAGGAAATATCCCCTATTCTTATTCCCACCATACCGTCTTCCTGTATTATGGTATCATCACATGGAAGTGCACTGTTAAATAATGTAACCTATATGGATGCATCACCTTTTATGTTTTTGTACCAGTACATCTATTGTTTCTTTGGTTCAGAGATGATAACGATATCTGCTCTGATTTCATAGGCGCATTGGTACATTAAATCCTGTGCCAACTTGCAGCCATTTAAATTTGTCTGCAAAATCTTTATCTTTTTATTCTAGTATTCCCCTCTTTCATCGCTCTTTTGTATATAGGATACACCAATGACCCAGTGACACGATTTTTATTTGCTAAACCATGAGCGCTGCACATGGCGCAGCGTGGTTCGTTAATGCAGTTCTCCATATTGTGACCCTTAACTCTACATTTCCCGCAAAGTGCCTTTCCAGAGCTAACTTCTTTGCACTGATTTGAGGTGTGTCCTATTTTATGACACCTAAAACATCTATTGATTTTGGGCAAGATTTTTATGCTTGTTACTGTCAATCCTGCTCTGATTTTTAAATTGTTATAATTGGCAGGAACAGTTAATGCGGGGATCACAACTATGGCTTGTCATGTTCCCCATGGGTTTATTGACAGTGTTTTGACGTCGACACAGTTTCTGTTACTTATGCTTAAGTCACTACAAATGTCGCTTCTGAGCTCTTCCTTGCTCAGCGGATCGATGTTTTTGACTTCCAATGACACCATAGTTTGTAGTGGTGTTGACTGTACTCGGTTTTCCGTAATCGTCTTTATTTTCTCTGAAATCTCATTTGCTGATGCTTTTGCTTTTATTCATTCGACCAAGATATTCCCGTACCTTGTCTTCCTAACACCAGTCGTTTTCTTGAGAGCTTCCATAAATCTCAAGCTCTCTGTAGGTTTCGACACATTCTTTTTCACTTTCGACCTTGACAAGTATTGCTTTCGGTCTATTGCGAATTCTTTGCTGATTTTTCACTTTTCTGCTGTTCCTTTTGGGTTGGTATTGATATTCTTCGATTTTTTTTAATCTTCTCTTTTCTAAGTGTTTTCTTATTTATTTGAATTTTCCATTCATTAATTTCACTACTATTGTTTTCCTTCTCGGTGTAATCTTTATCTACGCCAACGCTCCTTTCTTAGATCTTTCCCTAAGATCTTCCCCTTTGTCTTCCACTGGGGAGGTCTGTTGCCTTTTACTAATTTGGTAGTGTCCTTTTTATATCAATGTGTGTTTTGTAGCTACTATTTAGGGCGCGACGTTGCCACCGATTTTCTATGAGTAACCGTTTTCTTGACCGGTGTAATCCTTACTGTATTTTCGATCTATCGCGGGGAGAAGCGATCGCGAGGAAGCGCGTCAACGGAAGTCGTAAATTCCCGTTAGGATTATAAGAATCGACACCACGAACAGATCGATCCTCTTATTTCTTGTGGGATAATAGGGGCGATTGATGCGGTATAACAATGCGATTAACAGGGTTATAAAATTTATATTTCCAACACTTAATACACTCAAGAGTCATGATATCAATGTCGTAAACGATACTTTGAAGTATGACACTCCGATAGATGAGCACTGACTGTTCTTTCGTAGTAGAGCAAGGCCCTTGCAGTTGAATATAAGAAGAAGTTGACTTTCTTAGTATAGCAGGAATAGCAATTGAACTGACTGACTTTTCGCTCTCATGCAATTACGGAGGAAAGCTCGGTGTGGGTGTGGTTTTTTGAACGGAGAAAGCGGATTCGTTGCTCACTTTTCGTTAGTAAGGACAGGGCAACGATCTGCGATGTCCATTGATTTTAGTCAATGCTAATGAGAGATGAGAGGGAAAGGAACCTCCTACCAATGTTGCTAGTTGGTGTCATTGTTTAAGGGAAGAACCGGATTTTCCGTTAGATAAATAACCGCTTTTTTCGTTAGGTCACTACCTGCTTTCTCCGTAATTTTTAAGAGCGTATGATAAACTCAAGGATTTTTCTAAACACCAGCCATAAACCGAAAAAATTTCTGGGATTAGAAAAACCACTAGGACAAACAGATTAACTGAAAAACATGTGTTGAAACATTGAAGTTAAAAGTTAAAGGTTTATGGTGGGTTCTTAGGTTTGTTGAGGGTCGGAATGACGGTACGTGGACCGTTAGCTGTCAAGCAGCGAGGGATGGAGTGGAGGGAGGTCTTACGCGACATAACACTTACCCTTTATTTTTTTACTTAATCCTTGGATCCACTCAGAAGTGCCACTTATATGTTCGTTATTCTCTTTAATGATCTCTGCTAGGTGAAGTTTCGTATTTATTTTGTTTGTGTTTAGAATCACTTCAGTTAGTGTATTAATTAACACATTCACTTCCAGTTGTTTAATGGAGTATTCTATTTCTCTTTCTGATTGCGAGGATATCCTTTCCTCCTCGCTTTTTGTAAGATCTCTTATATTTTTCTGCCTCCTCATGGCCGATTTGATTAATTAATTCTTTCATTCCTTAATTCTTTTTGTTTTTGCCGTCATTGGAGTGTTATAATCGTTATATTCGAAATATTCCGAAGGTGTGTCGATATGCAGTTCACTTTCATCAGCATATTTGCTCTTGTTGACTGGAATTTTCACCGGGCTTTTTTTGGAGTAAAGGGATTGTCATTTTCCTTTGTTCCTTTTTTTTTTAAAAAGGATAAAATTTTACTCTCCACTGCTGTAATGCCCGAAATGATTTTCAGTCCGTTCGGGTCCGTTCCGGCTACTGCTTATTTGTCTAACTTAATTGTATTTGATTTTATTATTGTCTCTAGACTCAATTGACTTCCAACTCCTTCTATTTCTCTTTGTAACAAGAGTGTTCTTGTGCTCATTTGCTCAGGAACATTTGAACTCAATAGTCGTGATTTATTCGTGCACCTGGGGAAGCTTGTACTGACATGTCCTGATTTAGATGAACCGTTAGTGCCCATATGCTCTAGCCTAGGTCGGTCACCCGAATTCATATGACCTGATCCTAGTGATCCAGTCACATTTATATAGCCTGATTCTGATGTGCTACTCAGGTGTTCTGACCTTCCAAATATTATTTGCGAATTTGAGATATCAGTGGCACAGACCCATTTCCTGAACACATTATCTCATGTGACTTAATCTAATCAATCTTGATTCACTTGGGCCCATTCAATAATTGTTCTCCTGGATATATTTGACCTGATCCACTAGCACTCATTTGTACTAGCTTATTAGTATTTATTAATCTGAATCAAATTGTATCATGTATATAAAGATCTTATTCCGGTACCATAGCTCGTCCGTAGGTACCGTATATACCTAGTTGAGAATTAGTATTTTGACCGACTGCCTCGTCAAATTCTGTTTTATCTATCACGAGATTAATATTGTCGATATAAAGTATGATTTCTCATGCAGAAAAAAATATGTGAGATATGATAATACATTAGCGTACAAAGTTAAAGGCTGACTGCATTTTAGATGAAAAATCGTCGATATTAAAACTGTCGTAATTTTGTGAATAAAATTGGATAACAATTTATCTCGGCTCATTTTAAAACACGAAGCTTTTTCCTTTACAATCTTGTGTTTATTTTTTCGTTAACGGCTGGGGAACTGAAGATACTTTTTCTTTACGAAGATTTTACAAATTTAAATGACTCTGTGGAGTTTGAAAAATTTCCTTCAAGATCTGTTTTAAGATAACTTTGTAAAGGTAAGTCTCGCCTTTATAACTAAAGGTTGTCGTACGACTTCTTGTTGCTTTTTATTGACATTTGAAATATAAAAAATGCTATTGGTATTGTAATAAGTCAAGATACACCACGAGGAGATTGCATGGTCACACTTGAATATTATGTGCCGTGTATTGATAGTGTCTGGCTGTTCATTATATATAGTATGTGTGCGATAAGTGCGTGTGTATGTTTCATTTATTTAGAAGCGGCTATTTTCTCCCCGTTACCTTATAATTTTTTGGCATCGATTGTCCATAGAGGCGCGCTGTAACATACAATAAACGCATGTACTATACACACAAACTGTGTACAGTTCGAACAATAAACACATACTACACATGTGCCAGAAACGCATATAAAAACACATATCCTATATACACTCTAAGCACGCAGAAACTAAATACGCATTACACAAATAATAATTACACACACATTTAGTATGCATATTACACACGCATTACACATACTAAACAGACAGACACTACACATACGCCATACGTGGTTCAAGTTTGACCGTTCAACCTCCTCGTGATATACTTTGAATTATTCCAATGCCGACGGTACACTTTTCATTTGACCTTTTGTCCTACCCGTTAACTCGATTGTTAAACGATTGCTTGGGCCACAATAAACAAGAAGGTCGATCACGCGTCGAGCCATTTAGCTATTTAGCAGTGTGCTCGAATTTGCGCAAAATGTATACGTCTTATGGCATGTATGTTATTTCGGCTCAACAATAGGAATTGTGAAATAATAAACATGTTTGGGCACAACTAATACTTTTAAGATGTCTGGGAAGTAATTATGATCGATTCATCAGCGAACAAAAATGATTTATTGTTTAAAAGTGGATTAAAAAAATTGGTGACAACACGTTTCGTCTGGCCGTCCATTAATAAAGATTGTCGAACTTGGACGCGATAGTGTATACCATGTCAACGCTGCAAAGTCACCAGGTACGTATCCTCGCAAGTCGGAACGTTCAAAACGTTAGCAGGCCGGTTCGAACACGTAGACATTATCGTCATGCCATATTCACAAGATTATCGATATTGTTTAACGTGTATCGATCGTTTCTCGCGTTGGCCCGAAGCCATTCCCATCGTCGATATGTAAGCGCCAACCGTTGCTTCGGCCCTCCTTTCTACTTGGATAGCTCGTTTCGGCGTACCTTTAAGAATCACGACCGACCAAGGACGCCAATTTGAATCGCGACTGTTTGAGGAGTTATGCCGGTTGCTTGGCGTCAAGCACGATCGCCTATTATCCCGCGTCTAACGGGATGGTAGAGCGCTTACACAGGCAACTAAAAGCGGCGATCAAGCGACATGAGCAACTGGGTCGAAATTTTATCCATTGTATTATTAGGCATTCGAACCGCGATAAATGGGGACTTAAACGCAACGGCAGCCGAAATGATTTACAGCACCGGCATACGATTGCCGGCAGAATTTTTCATAACAATCGAGCAGCGGACCAACTCGGAATACGCAAACCGGTTTAAAGAATAGATGGGGAAGGTCAGGCCACATCCGGTCACGCGTCATGGCGAAAAGAAAATTTTCGTTTTCAAAGAATTAGAATCGTCGCCGTATGTTCTCTTGCGCCATGACGCGATAGGAGGCCCTTTACTACCTCAGTTCGACGGACCGTTTAAGGTTGTAAAAAGAGACAAGAAAAACTACATAATTAAAATAAACAATCGTGACGTAACGGTTTCCATAGATCGTTTAAAACCAGCGTTTGTAGTCCCAGACGATCTAGAAGAGAAGACCGCCGAACCTCGTGACATACTAATTCCGGTAAAGCAAGCGAACGCGCACGACGAAAACAGCGCAAGCAGCGATCGAACAGCGGAAGAAAACACCAGGAATGGCTATATTACTCGATCCGGACGTAGAGTCCGTTTTCCCGATTGGTTCCAGACAGGTTTCGGTTAGGCGTCGTAGATCATCGGATCGTGTGTATCGATAATAAAAAATAATGACGACAAGAGAAACTTTGTGGATATTTTAAAAATTTAACTCAATAAAAACGTTATCACTGGAAGGGGGGGGGGTGATGTAGCGGTACACGAGTCAGGACAATTCAAATCCTGTTGTTGTTTTGCCTCGGAGTATCAAGACCGTTAGTTTACAAGCAATGTAAGAACAAATAAACTCCGGGCAAAACAATGTCGCCGCTACAAATGTATCAATAGCAATTTGTAAATTAATACTTAATTTAAATTAATAATGTTTTGAGAAAACTCGTAGAAAATTAGTAATCTTCAACTGCGTGATATTTTTCGAAACAATGAAACACAATAGGAAACATAATATCGCTACCATCACTATCATTATCAGAAGTATTTACCGAATCGCTATCCACAATAATAATATATTTCTCACTACCATCATCAATATTAGATTTTCTTTTTTACTGGCATGATAGGTATAAGGATTGTTTAATCCTTTTAGGAAATTATAACCTAAATGTGTGAGCGTAACGAACAATTACACGTAACTGAAGTAAGAAAATATCGAGAACAACGAAACCACGAGTCTGACTCATGTTGTTTACGATAGTTCTGAATGAAATACCACGAGCCAGGGTCGTGTTTACGTTTGGTCCGAACGAAGTACCACGAATCTCACTTCTTACTGTAGAAAAACAAATTTTAACTCTGTAGAGCTGTCTGAATTTGTAAAATTTTCGAAAAGAGAAAATATCTTCGCTTTACTACCTGTTAAAAGAATAAACACAGAATTGTGAAAGAGGATTAAAATGAGCTCATGTAGTTGTACAATTTTATTTTTTCAACGAAATTATAACAGTTTAAATATCATTAATTTTTCATCAAAGAAATTATCCTTTAATTTTATATACCAATGAGCCAGTGTAACAGCACAGGAATGTACAATGTATGAATAATATGAGTCTCACAGAAGTTAAATTAATCATATTTACTTACTGTAATTTCATAAGACATAAAATAGCTTCTAATAAAAGATAAACTTATTCCTATATGTATATACTCCAGGTCATGACGAAATAATTGGAAATATCAAGATATCTTAGAAAATATAAGGTCTTTTAACATCATCATTTTTCTTTTCAATTTATAAAGGTAATCAACATAGCTTGTGAGTAATTTACTTAAATAATTTAATATCAAGTAGATAATACATTACAACAAACTGTAAAATCTAATTTTTCTAAACAATGCTTTATTTATCTGATCCCCTCAAACGACAAACAGTTTATATAACTAAAGCTCATATAATAGGAATTTATTGATTCTCCCCACTACCTATGATTTCTTATTTAAATGATAGAAGTTCACGGCCAGTTAAGTGGATTCAATTTCTCCATAGGACTTCAGTTAATTGGATCTAACTAGAATTTCGTGCCAATAAACAGAGTTTAGATAAATGGAATTTTACTGGCATCTTAATAACTCCACGCCATAAAATTCAAACTATTTGTAATATAGTTCCCAAATTGAAATTTCCCTTCAAGATTACATCCGTATTTTACATTTCTCCGTAAAATAGTGCAAATATTTTCAATTAAATATGTTACATTTTCTTACATTATTTAATAATCAGAGATGTGTGTGACGTTCTCATGGATTTTAACGAAACCTCCTTTAATTGTTTTGAAAAATAATGAAAATAGGGATCAGATCCCAATGACTTCCAAAAAATACATTAAATATCATTTTGGACAAGAGTTACCGACTGCCTTTTGGTGGTCAGAAAAATGATCTACCAATACTACAGCAATAGCATTTGTAGTATCAATCAAGATTAACGCTTTAAAGAGTTTTTTGCTTTTAATGTCTAAGACAACGTAAGCTATATAGTAAGCTAAGGGTATCAAATTTTAAGTACGCATAAATTTGAACAAATTGATTCTTATACTCAAAACTGATATATTTCGACTTTATTCGTCGAGTAATATAAAAAAATAAAAAGTAATATCAAGAAAAGTTTAAAAAAATGCAATGTTCCGGAACAAGGTTTAATCTAGAACGCTATATTATTTTATTCAACGTCATTGGTGTCCGACCGTACGTTTTTATTACTTTTTCCGTTCACCACCATTCATCACCATTCATTTTTGTAAAAAAGAAGAATGGGTCAACCTATCGATGTGCTATGTAATGTATTTTGCTGTGACGTGTATATGTGCGTGTGTGTGTGTGTGTGTGCGCGCGCGCGCGCGCGTGTGTGACATTATATATAACATATAATATACATGTTATATAACATATATATATATATATATGCACGTCACAACAAAATACATCTCACATCACATCGACAGGTTAATCCATTTTTCTTTTTTACAAAAAAGAATGGTGATCACAATATACTTGAATTTAATATTGGTATTTCGAACAACAAAAGATTATAGCATGATATAGGCTTGAAAACAGTTTTCTGTTATTCAGTAATAATCAACAATTTCTTACAAACTGATTACAGCTACATGAAATCAGATAGTATTAATCACATATACCATGCATGAAATGGAATAGAACTCATGGAATCAGTACAACAATGGAATCATATTAAATAATGCGACGACAAATTTATAGTGGGGGTTCACATCGTAGCATAAAAGCAGAGCTTTCGCGAACGAATGTTTAGTTTAAACAACCTGTTAGTACAGTAGCAGCAAGTCAGTGATCCCTATTTAGTCAATATGATCGATCAGCAAGAATTAAATTGTTATTACGATTTCGTTTTGAAGCTTACCAT